TGCCTGGAAGACAAACATGATGCACACACAATGATTGCCATTGACCGAGAGGATGGAGTGACCAGCTGTGTGCGAGGAACAGTGGCAACAGTCATGAATCTCATGTAGGCGTCCGAATTCAGCCTTTTAATCTTTTTTTTTTTTTTCTCTTAATATGATCTAATCAATCTTTTTAGACATAGGAACTTCAAGTGAGGTATGTTGAGGCAAGTTGGAGCTAAACTCGGCAGGACAATGGCCCTCCAGGACAGAGTTTGGACACACCTGGTATAGACTGTGCCTGTGCAAAAGTAATTAGTACTTTTTAGGGGATTATACTATTAAAAGAATTGTCATCTGTTAAAAACATTGACTTTTATTACTTTCAAATAAAGAACATGACTTTGTGAAAACATGGACTTAAAGGAGTAGTTCACTTTTAAAAAAATCTTTTGCTGATAATTTACTCACCCCCATGTCATCCAAGATGTCCATGTCTTTCTTTCTTCAGTCAAAAAGAAATTAAGGTTTTTGATGAAAACATTCCAGGATTTTGGGATGGGAACCAAACAGTTTAAGGTCCAAATGACAGGTTCAGTGCAAACTGCAAACTGTTCAAAGGGCAAAATTAACGTCAAAATGTTCAATGAACAAATCTTTTCCCGAGTCAATTTGTTCATTTCATTCGTTGAATGAACCAAATGACCAGCCCATTCTCACCCCCAAGGCGTCACTTAACTGATGCCTTGGGAAGCATTTGGACATGCTTCAATATCTGACGCTTTAGGCGCCCTTTAGCGTCAGTTAGATGACGCCCTAGGATCGCGTGTACCCTACCCCCACCCCACACCTAAACCTAACCGCGTCCTCTAACAGACGCTTTCCTTTAGCGTCAGTTAGATGACGCCATAGGATCGCGTCATGTAAGTGACGCTAAAGGGTGCCTAAAACGTCAAATATTGAAGCATGGTCAAAGGTGACGCCTTGGGGTGAGAATGCGTTGAAATGACACGAAAAAAGATTTGATTATTTTGATAAATGAGTTCGAACAAGGTGACCATTTGAGCTTGTAAAACTTAAACTTTGTTATTTTTTTTTTAAAAATGAGTGATCGTTTCGCTTTATAAGACCCTTATTCATCGTCTGAAATCTTTAAAATTCTTTGAACAGTTTGTACTGAAACTCTCTTTTGGACCTTGAACAGTTTGGTTCCCACTGAAGTGCATTATATGGAGAAAAATCCTGTAATGTTTTAATCAAAAACCTTAATTTATTTTCGACTGAAGAGAGAATGATATGGACATCTTGGATGACATGTGGGTGAGTAAATTATCAGCAAATCTTGTTTGTTTTTTTTGTTTTTTTAAAGTGAACTATTCCTTTAACTAAAACTTAACTAAGAACAGATGAGGTACACTTGTTCCCAGCAGTGACATACAGGGATACTGTTTCTGTTCATCAGACAGAAATGAGTCTTGAAACACACACAGAAAGCAACCAGTAAGAGGGTGGACACTTTTATGAAGGCAGACACCATAAATCCTGTCCTTGGCAGCCCATAAATATTATTGTCCATGGTGTAAATGGCTTTGAAATTGACCCTAGCGTGTGTGCACAGATTTTGTATGCATGACGTAATGACATAAATCTAGTATGGTGCCCCATAATGCAGAGAAAGATGACCGATGAATGGATATTATGTAGCTGGTACGTGCAACCACTTTCAATCGGTTCATTCAAAGCCCCGATTCATTCAGAACCGAAAGACATTACCCTCGCCTCTTGATTAGCGAGTCATTGAATCATTCATTCAACCGAATTGTTCAAAACACTGATTCATTTAGGACTGAAACAAAAACTGGCTGCATCGGATTTCGCAAAATTAATTTCGCACTTTCGCTTACCTCAAGGGCATCCAAGATGTAGGTGTCTTTGTTTCCACAGTATTTTCAATGTTCATATTTTTAGGTCAAACCGTTGTTGTCTGTCAGAATACTGTGGAAACAAAGACATACATATCAAACATTAATTTCTAAGTGAACTATCCCTTTAACTTTTGTTTTAGACTGTTAAGCTGACCTCTATTTCTCTTGAATAGACACTAACACAAACTTGAGGACCCAAAAAGGACATAACACGAGTCGCCCTCATGCTTCGCTTCCTTCATCCTGTTCTTTTTAGGCCTCAAACACTCCAATCAATGTTATTGATCATTCCTCAGCAGACACAACCTGTCTAAGGAATCTATCTGCAGGTGTCAGCGGAGAGAAATTTATGAACTTTAAATCTACTTCACTGCACACACACTGATCATTTGAGCGATGCTAGATTGTACCTCTCTGTCATGAACAGGAATGATATATCTTAACTAGATTCTTATCTAGAGTAACTGACAGAAAATCACTGGACACACTGAAAGCTTGACAGAGGACTAGATCATGGCAAAATATTCCATTACAAGATGTTTATGCATGGTAAATTGTGTAATTAGTAAAACATACAGTATCTGTGATGGTTTTGAGAAAGTAAACTTTCAGAAATAAACCATGCCGTCACTCGTTTTTACTTGTCTCTATAGTTTGACCGTTGTGCTGTGCTTCTCAATGGCCTTTCCTCTGGTCTACACAGTGTCTATTGATCAGACTGACAGGAGAATAGTCAGTATCGGGGTGCAGATCTGTTTTAATTCCACTGTGGAACGTTTGTTTAAACTGACAAATTGTTTGTGTGTTTATTTTGTCTTTTAAATTAATTTTATCTGACAGGTCCCAGCCAGTGGGACAAGGGCTAGAAGTGTAACAGATTACAAAGTTGACCCTTCTGCCGACTCAATCAATGGCGTCCAATTGTACAATGGAACTTTGGTGTTTTCACAGACATATTCAATGTTGATTCATAGTCTCTGCATTGATTTACAAAAAGGTCAATGTTCTTTACGGATGACAATTCTTTCAATAGTAATCCCTTCGTTTTATAACAGATGAGTTCGACTTTGCAGTTGTCCTTTCCTAATCTCCTTCATTCACAGTTGGATATAAAATGTTCACAGAGAAAATGTTGTCAGACACTGCAGTTCTAGCCTATAATTTATCATTGTTATAAACTTGTGCATATATTTGTAATCATCACTGTGAAGTTTATTACATCATTGTTATTAAAGGAATGCACAATATACAGTATGTGTACCATCTCGGTTATTGGTAATATTGTTGAGGGGTTGATTTAGTGTGTGTTTGTGTGTTTAAACACTGAAATTTACACTATTTTTACTTTTAGATTAAGTCAGCATTGGAAAGTAATCTTTAACATGCTTGTAATTAACACTTTTAAATTTTAAATTTATCCATTTATTTGTATGTTATAATGTAATTCCTACATTTAACAACATTTAAAATTATTCATTTCAGTTTCTGTAATTTATTTAGACAAAAGTAGTATTAGAATTTACTAATACTATTTTATTAGAATTTTATCAGAATTTAGTAAATTTAATAAAATTAAAATAGAATTTTATTATCAGCATTTTATTAGTTATCAGCTTACCATCATGTATTGCTACAGTAGTTGTGTAATTTTTCTTGATTGGTTAATAAACAATTAATTAAACAATAAATAAACAATAAAGCCATTAAATTAAAAACAATTAAATAAACTATATATATATATATATATATATGTGTGTGTGTGTGTGTGTGTGAATAAAAAAAAATGATTAAGAGAGACTTTAGAACTGTATCCGTGGGTCAGCAAAGCTTATCCATTTATCATCATTATACAAAAGACTTGTATTGATTATTGGTCTTTTAAGATTGATTCCTCAGTTTGCTTGTCCTACAATCTATTCATTATTTGTACAGCTTATGCAAAGTATGCACAAGTCCATGCTAACTAATTAAGTTGTTGTCTACAAACTTACCACTTTCTTCAACTATTCACTTAAATTGGATAATTGGGAAGAATCGACCCATTGAATGACCAAAGCATCTTTGCTATCCCCAAGTAATTAGACATTTAAACACCCAATCCTAATCCAAAACACCACCATTGGGTCCTTTTTAAAAGTTTATTAGTTCGTCCTTCCAAACACTTGATACACCTTACTGGGATGTTCCCATGGGTCCCATCAATGCATGCAAACCTTTCTTGTATCGCTCACCTTGAATTTAGGAAATAACTCACATGGTGCTTGTAAATCAGTTTAGTTAAACAAGACAATTAAGTCAAATAATTAAAACAACCGTTTCAAAACAACTGGGGTGAAGAGTTTACATATACCCCATAGACTTTAAAGATCAACACAAGCCTGGTTTACATTTCAGCCTTGTACAAACAAACAAACAAGGGATTTGAAATGAGTGAATGAGCTGATTCATCTCAGATCTGAACTGACTGCTGTCTTCAGGGTTGAACAAATGAATGAATACAAGACATCCAATGATTATTGTCTTTAGAACTGGCAGGGTAGCGGGTGGAGTGCGCATGCAGTACTGTATGCGCCTGCAGGTGGAGCTGTGATGCAGTGTTTTGAGTGCTTTGCGTTCAGGGATAGTGCAGTGAATCAACCTATGATGCCAACCAGTGTGTTGCTTCATATACTGCAAGGTGGAAAAGTTCGTCAGATTGTTAGTTAAGAAAGTAATGCTCGTAGCTATAACCAAATAAACCTTTTTCTGCAATGCGATTATAAAACATTTATAATCTCGTTGTAAATGCAAGGGTTGTTACCTTCTTTTCATTATGTTTGTTAATTAAATTGACGGCCTGGGTTGTTTTAGTGTTATCATCATATATTTATTTTTGATTGATCTCTGATGAATAAAATAATCAGCGTAAAGAAATTGGCGTAAAGCTAATCTCCAGACAAACTGTTTGTACTATTGCATGTTAACATCCTAATCTCCAACTGATCTTGCTGATTAGATATTGAAATCCGTTGCTCGTTCTGTCCGCAGTAGCTATTATGTTCAGCCGCTTGTTTCCCCCAAATTCGTTCCACAGTGTAATGCATGCATTTAGGCACGTTATAAGACATTGGGGCGCAGCATACCTCATTCATGCCAGCCGCGCGCGCTGATTGCAGCCAATAAGATTTTACAATTAGCCCAATCAGCGGCCAGCTTCGGGATGTCACTGCGGGCGAGTCAGGAGGGTTTGTAAAACAAGACAGTCGCTGCGTCTCAGCAGAAAGCCACTGACTCACGCCTCTCTCCTCTGGTACTTGGGAGTCAGCTGCGAACCAGCAAACTCCGAAACAGCCGCTCTGACTGACCGACTGCAGCGCACACGGCGAGTCCCCATTGCTGCGGCTGCTACTGCTTATTCTGCACGCGGAGTTCCAGTTGCCGTTTAAGCGCGCTTTAAATTCTGTCAATCAGCACGTCATGATGGAAACTATAGTACGAGCGACAGTTTTAACGGTCACCTCACCAGCGCTTCAGCTTTAGTCGTTGATGGGATTCTGAAGCTCGTCTGTCGTTTCTGCCTGAGGAAATTAAACGCGGAGGATCTTTGCGATAACAATAAGTGTGTGTGATACTCGAAAACACAGCGAATCGAGTGTTTTAACGGGCGTCTGGCTGTATTTGTGGAGTAACGTTAAGTGAGTTGGGATTCCTGTGAAGGTGCCCATCATCCGCAGTGTGAGCGCGACTGCGGCGGTGAGGTGAAATACGCAGCGAGAACAGGTAAGCGCTTGACACGGGACAACCATATAACAGGATTGGTGTTTTACATCTTCAACTTGTTATTTAACGGAATAGCGACTGGGAAATGATATTTGAGCAGGTAGGTAAGCGAGGCGTGTTACCTGCTATGTAGAATATAAGGGCGTGCTGTGAGGAGGGCAATGCACCATCCGCACCCGTGCGTTACTGGCTTGTGTTATCTTACTCTCTGGAGCTTTTATCCTTTAAAACTAGGAACAACATAGGCTATCGAAATTTCTATACTGCATTTTTAAGATATGCAATTCTTTATGGAAAGCACATAAACGCATAGATTGTCAACGATTCTTAAAGGGATAGTTCACCCAAAATTATTTTGTCAACGTTTATGTCGTTCCAAAGCCCTTTTACTTTCTGCTTAGCAGATGTTAGGCATAATGACAGCCTCCGTCTCCGTTAACTTTTATTGTATTGTTATTAATGCTGTCAGTCCCTAATTTTAGGCATATGCAGCCTTTCAAGTCATAGCCTAACGTTACATGTTCGGAACAGTTAATGACACAATTTTTAGTTTTCTCTGACCTATACGGTTTAAGATTATAAGATTGTTATTACAGTTAGTCACAACATCAGTCTCGAGACGTGATTTATGATAGAAAGTGGTGTTGACGCAGTTCGCATGATATTCATTATTTTACACACGTGTTTCTCCGCTAAAGCGCTATCTTGGAAAGACTGCTGTATGGCTGGCAAGAGATTAAACGCTACAAATAACACTGTTACAAGTAAAAAAGGGGAGCCTGTTACTGGCACGCGGCTGCCGCGCTCGCGTTAACTCGAGAGCGCAACTTGTTCTCTGTGAGTCGCGTGCGTGAGCGCTTCTTCTCTGCGCGCGCTTTACCTGCCGGCACAGGGTGGAGAAAGAGCGACTGGCTATCATGTGTGAGATTTTACCCTCATAAAATTTCTGGCAATTGCCGTGCTATTTGTAGACACGAAGTGTGTCACACTGTTTGGCACACCTTGGTTCCCCGTAATCGTGCGTAATTTTCCAATTATTTCATCAGGGTCATCAAAACAGCGGTCTGTTTTGCGCGCCCAAGGTGGTATCTGACTTTCTATCTATCTAGAAAGATGTAATAATGGTTGGATAAAGAGTTTTACCCTAATTTGCATTTGAAATCAGTCGCAGTTGCAGTAATGTCATGACTCTTGTTCACCGAGGGGTCCGTTGACCATTTGAGCCATTGTCTTGTGTCTCAAAGCAACACATCTGCAAACCCTCATGGTTGCCTCAATGCAGCCAAGATCAGCTGAGGACACATTTTACGCATGTTTCTGATGTTCAGTTTGTCCGTTGTACACATCACATGTCTTCTGCTCTCAGCTGTGGAAATGTGTAGCCTATCATCTTCAGTAATGCATCTGCTGCTGTTTGCAAACCTTCTAATTGCCAGTTTCTCATTGACTTCAACCTGAATCGCTTTGTTCCACTCTTGTTTTCTCTGCTGAGGGTGTGAGTCTGGGGAGTTTGTAAGGAAATATTAAGTAATCGGAGGAGTTCACTTGCTTGTGAGTGGTACTTCATAAGGATTCCATTCATACTGGGACTTGACGCTGTGTCTTGTGGTTTCTGTGTATAAATTATGAATTCATGAAGATTGTGTTAATGAAGTATTTTAGCTTTTTTGAACTGAGTGGAATTTGTTCTCTTTAGAGGCTGATAAGACAGGGCTTTGGGCAGTGAGTCTAGAATTGTGTCTGCATGTTGGCAATTGTGGCCAGACTTGCTATAGCATATCTATGAATGGCCACATGTGTTTGCATTTGCATGCAGTCGAGAGGCAACAATATAGCAGTTTTTTTTGTTCCTTCGTCTGGATGAAGTGTAGGTGTTGATGAATGCGTGCAGTCAGAGTGCCCCTGAGTTTCAAGGAGAAGCAGCAAGTACCATCAGACTGTGATAAAACACAAAACTTAATCATTTCAGCGTGTTCCAGTGGTGTTTCAGCCTTGAATGCTTGACAGTCTGCTTGTCTCTTTGCCCCCAGAGATCTTTGAGAGACGCAGTGCTATCAGCAAGGATGAATTTAATGTTGACATTTTTCAAATACTTTCTCTTCTTGGATGTAGTTGAGAGATAAACTTGGAGATTGAAGGGAATATGGGAGGCATAGAATGAAAACAGAGAGAGACAGTACTTTATATTATTAAAATATTAGAAATGTCATAGCAGTTAGAATGAGTCCACTGTATTGAGCAGATATGTTGAGATGAGGATGAATGACTGGTTTGGAAACTGGTGAATGACTCTCTCTGTTCTTTCAAAGGAAGCGTCGCTTTCTATCTTCTTATAGGCTGCTTTTTGCTGATTGGCCAGCCATGTTTAAGTTTTGCTTTTACCCTCCAGTAAAATAGCTATTATTCATTTGTATTTAAGTTTGGCTATTGCTCATTTTGGGTCACTGATGCACTTTTGGTGCAGAATAATGGCTTTGGTTATATAGTTTTAGTTTATATATCTGTTGTTCTGTGTACTGTGAGAGCAAGTGTATCTTTACCCTGTAACCCAATTAAATAGCGGCTTGATGAGTTGACTTTGGGAAGCTGATCTTGAACTGCATGAGCTTTGAGTAAAAAATGTTTCATTTGAACAACTCGGTAAGACACTCAATAGCCAACAGGATTCTTTGAGGAAGAAAAATCAATTTTTGTAATCTTGTGCTTAATGAGACTCGGCTTGAATGTTTCCCTCTACTGGCTTGTTGAAAACCTGTTTGCGTGTGTGTGTTTGGACAACCCTTCTGTTATGATTTGGTTACTACAACAGTTTTATGACTTATCATCCCACTATTTGTATTAGTTTAGCTACAAACACGTTTTTGGCGTCGTCGGAATGTGTCCTTTTACGTATGCAACGTGATGTTTCTATGGGAAGTAAATTAGCTTCGTACCTGGAAACTGGTTTGTGTATTGGCGGAACAGTTTATTTACACAGTAAATATTTACAGTATGTTCAGAACATAGCGAGAACATTCCTGATCTGTCCGTGTGTATGACCATATGCACATGTCATGTGCAGTTCAGGTGCAACTGGATGGGATCTGTAGGTAAAAGTGTGAATTGTGAGTGACAGTTCTGTCTGCTTGTGACATCTTCAGAATAGACCCCCGCTGTGCGTCCCCCACGTCCCACTGCGTGTGCGTGCTGGTGCGTACGTGAGCGCCCGTGTCTTTATGGATAATGAGGAGAGAGTGATTTCCACAAGTGAGAAACTCTGCTTCCTGTCATTACTGTGGCACATACGTGTCCCATTACGAAACTAAAGGCTGTCTGTCTTTGCTTACAGTATATCGCCTTTTTTCATCCCACTGTTTTTTGTCATCTTTTCAAAATGTCTGTTTTTTTTTTTTTTTGACAATTTAATCTGTGTGTTTACAGTACAAGTCTATTGGTTGGAAAACTGGCTAGCACCTCATTTGTGTGGTGCAGATAATCCATCAATGGAAATATAATAAGATAGCTTTGGATTTGATGTTTATGTGGCGTTGCTTTTTAAATTCAATGTGTCAATGACTTTATTCCCACATGCCTTGCACTGTTAAAAAAACAATATTGTTGGTTTAACTTAAAGTAAGAAACCTGGTTGCCTTAAAATTTTAAGTTGATTGAACTCGAATTGAGTTAATACAATGAAGGAGATTAATTTAATCATCAGAAACTCAAAATAATATGTTATCTCAACTAAATAAATTATTTAAGTTGATTTGACAAAAGAAAAAATGTTGTGATGATAACAAATATTGAAAATATTTTTTTACAGTGGTCTTAGACTAAACATCAGGACTAGTAATGTTCACATCTATGAACTAATAGCATTGTGCATTTAACCTTAAGCTCTGTCCACATTGAAAGTTATTGGTTTTTAATGAGGGTTGCTGAAAAAAATTTGATTCACGCTATGCCTTGTTACACTGCAGATGTGCCAGTATTGGAAGCCACCAATGCAGTGTCATTGTGAACTGGGCTAAATTTGGAACATTTTGCTATGATGAACTTGGTGATATGACCTCTCCTCTGTGTAGTTTTAGTAATATACCTGAGGAAAAAGAGCAGAACAAAGTATTTCTGGTGCAGATCTTCCCAGGTGTTAGGTCATGAGGATTATATTGAAAACATCCCTCTATGCTGGCTTTTATATTTGCCTCTGCTAAGCCATGCGTGACAGGTAATAAATTAGTTTTGTTTCAGATGCATGAAATGATTTGAAACCTGCAGACAGGCATACATATCTTATTTCTTTTGTAGGTGAACTTGCTGTTTGAAACATCCCCAAATTTCGATTTTAAAGTGGTGTCAGACTACAAGTTTTAAATATGATTTCTTGTACTTACAAAGAGAGGGAAAGAAAAGAAGCTGGAGGGAGGGTGACAGGGTGCCATCTTCGTATCATTTTCTGCCAGGCCAGTGTGTTCTTAATATCAATTTTTGAAGGGGCTGTTTTCAGAGGGGCTTGCATTTAATGTTCAACATCTCTTTCCATTTGCCGTCCATATTTTTCATTTGAAGAAAGATTGTGTCCCTGACCCTTCAGGGAATTGTTCTTGTGATTTGAGGCGAGTCGACGTCTTGTTGACTTTGGTTTTAATCTGTTTAGCATTTGTCTGGGAGATAAAGCATGGTACATTTGACTTTGACGTTTGTGCATTCTGAGCTACCAAGGTAAAGTTTAATTCACCCTGACAGTAAGCATTGGACTAAACAAACCAACATGTTTTTCGCTGTCTTGATTTCTGTAGGCACAGATTCCATTCTGCAAACTGCAATAATGTCTGTACTACGGTATATAACAGATGCATTGAAGCTCGGCAGTGTGTGTGTCTGCAGTAGCATTTGTGTATCCAATCTGTAAATGTCTATGTGGTTTTCTTTCTCTGTGTTCTGTGCATTAGGCATCTCCGTTGTATCAGTGAGCTTCAGTCCCTCAGCCACCCACTCACACATCTATAAGTGTTCCCATG